CCTCTCTCTCTCTCTCTCTCTCACACACACACACACACACAGACAGACACAGACGCACACAGAGAGAGAGAGAGAGAGAGAGAGGGAAAGTTAGGAAGATAAATTCAATTCTCCTCCTCTTTTCCAAAAACATGGTCTAGCTCTGACGGGGGTGACTGACCTATATCTTGGGGGATCACTTGTGAGAGCAGTGGGGGGAATCTTATGTTTGATGTTTTCCTCATGAAACTCATACATACATACCCCAACACATACATACCCCATACTCTTTCTGAGAAAGGAACTGTGCAGCTGTATGAAAGGAGTAAGAAATAGTAAGCCAAGAAATTAAAGGCCTAGGGTGCAGAAAGGAAACTTAGCTAAATTTTGTTTACAGCAACACCATTCCCTGTACCTCTTTCTATCTTTCAATCCTTGCAAATCATCCTTGCTTCACACATTTTCTTTTGGTCTTTAAACTCCTCACCTTTCTCTCCCCCCCTCCTCTCTTTTTGAGGGTGGCATGAATTCTGTGCAATTCAATCCAAATTCATCCTGTCCTTAAAACCAAGCCACCTCAACATTCTTCTTTCATCCAGATCACTCACTTTTGTATTCAATCCACATTCATTCAGCATCCATTCATTCCTGACCCTATCACTGCACATGTCACACATAACACATCCTGAAATCACATGGCTAATATTAGGTGGCAAAACAGCAGAATTTCAGCATTGCAGGGTTGGGCCATTGGGGTGGTGGTTAAGGGTGGTTATGGAGGTAGTTTACCTGCCTGAGACCTTTGGCTTCTCAACACAGAAAAAAAATGAGCCATACCCTTTCGGGTAATGTCAATGTCTTACAATAGCCCCCTGCAGTTCTCCTGGAATTTGAGAGGCTGATTTGTGTCCTTAGATTCCTCACAACTTGCCCATTGCTGCAAATATGCAAACAGTATGTGAAATATCAACATATGAATATTTGTATCAACAAAGAGGCAAGGAAGAAAAATGTTGAACAATATGGTTTTGGAGTTGTTTTGTTTGTAACATAATTTTTCAGACCCTTTCTTGCCTCCCTCCCACTCTTTCCTCCTCCTCCTCCTCCTCCCATCCTTCTAACCCATCACTGATATCATTGTATCTATTTATGTTACGTTACTTTACCATAATATAGTTATATAAAATGTGAAATCCAAGTATTGTCTGCTGCAGTTTGGAAGGCATCATCAATAGGGTTTTTTTTGAGACACAGACATTTTAGATGTGATCATTCAGAAAAGTGTCCAAGGACAACCCTTGGATTTAGATTACCTGCAAGAAGTTAGATGGTGATGCTAAAATGGATACCCTCAGCAATTGGCTCAACTGACATGAAAATAGCCCCTAAATCAGTAAATCATCTTTTATTTTCTGGCAGGAGAAGAATGATAATTTTGTAATTTGCTCTGGGTAAATTATTTTCATATTAAAGCTTAAGAAGTTGTTATGCTGGTAGCCAACTTTGTCATTCTCCCTGTGTGAAAAGGAGAGAGAAGGGCTCGTAGAAAACAACAGGATGTGGCTTGATATTTCCACGTATAACGGTTTCTTCTGAGCAGTGGTTATCACAGTACATATTTCATTACAGTGTGGAGGTTCAGTGATCTGTCACCCTTCCTGCTTTGGTTTTAAATAGCAGCACATCTACACGTCTCACCTCTGCTAGTGGTTTTGTTGCCTGGAGTTATCACACCATCTTTTGCTTTGGATTGATGTCGCAGGTGCACCAGCTGCAGACAAGGCAGAATGTTTCAAATGGAAAGTTTGTGGGGATTAGACGTCACTGCTGATTTGTTTTGATAAACGGAAAGGATCAGTGTTTTCCTGGGCTGAGCTGTCTCCTATGCCAATTTTTTTTTTTTTAAAGTGGCCTCAAATGCTCTAGATTTCAGTGACATCTTACCCTGCCCTTCGAAAGACTTGCTTGCTGTTTGGGGCTTGCTTACTATGGGACTGTGGTATCCTCATCATGTAAACTCCACATTTACCTTTGCCCGGACCAAGAAATAGTACTACTTTGAATTTTGCTAATACCTTACACCAAAGAAATTATTTACTGAAAGCAGAGAATATAGCATACGTAGCAGGGAAATACCAGAAATACCAGTGTTTTTAAAAATCAGGATGTGGTTGTCCCATTTCAACTTTCTCACAAGTCTGCAAAAATGAGACAGCCAGTTTTTGTAAGTTCATGACATTTCAATGTTGTCCACCCTGGAGCATGTCTAAAAAATAAGGTGGTACCCCACATGCGTTACTTTGTTAGTCTTTCAGACCTCCTTGTTGCTGGAATGTGAGTCCTTTTTATACTGAATGCAACAAGTTTCATCATTGCCATATAAACTTTGGCCATGATGGAGTCAATGATAAGCATGTATCTAAGTTACACTAATTTCACTGAGGGAACATGAAGTAGAGTGCTTATGATCCCGCTCTAAAAGCTTAATGTCAGTTGGATTATTATTTCCATTTTTTTTGTTTTTGTTTTTGTTTCCCCAGATGGTCTTTTACCACCTCTATTCAGTTATAAGAAGATATGCTAACCATAGCAATGAAAATTAGAGTTTTTGTTACTATAACTGAAGATACATGTTTACAAATGACACACAACGCTTCCTCTGATTCTATTCTACTTGTCAAGTGATTCTTTTGTTAAACTGAGCACTGCTACATTTCATATATTGATTGAATGTAGATGCACTCATTCATATTTTAGTTTGCTGCAAAAAAATGGTGGCGTACTCATAGCAACACAAGTTCCTCCATAAAATCTGAAATTGCTTATCAAGAGCTGTTAAATACAGAAGTAGAAACCCTCAATTTGTTGCGGCATTGTATATTGTGATGGAAAATAGCTGTACTAGCATTGTCTGGAAATTTATTGAAAATTTGCTAACTGACTTTAGCCCAAAGTAATAGAAACTGTTACGTTAGGAAAAGCCTAGTGAAGAACAACTGAAAATGCATGCTCATAAATAAAAATATGGAGGTGTGCCTAAATAAAAAACCAGTGTTTATTAAAATGATACTTAAAACACAAGCAGGTTAATCATGATTCCTAGGTAACTGGTGTAAAAAAAGAAAGAAAAGAAAGAAATTGTAATATGGAACCTGGCTTGAAAGAGAGTATGCTGGAATAAAGCTCATTACCTGAGTTAAAAAATGGATGATATTACAAATGAAGTATTGTAGAACTGTTATTCAAGCCAAAAGTAGATTTGATGTTTATGTGAGTAGTTTATGGGCCACAAACACCGTGCAAGATGTAAATATCAAAGAGATCAAATCCATGTACCTAGGAGATTACTTAGATTTAATCTGCCAATGTTACATTTGGGGTTGTCTTCTCAAAGATGAATGTTAGCATGTGTGTTTGAATGAGAATGTTGTGGAGTTCCATGAGCCCGTCTTACAGAAGAATAAATATCATTAATAGTAAAGTAGCATTTAAGAACCCCAAAATGGATGATTTGCCTTTACAAAGATGTAGCTTCTTTACCATCTCATTCTGCCTTTGGATCTGTCAAGTGATCAATTCAACCAGAGTTGGGTGTGATACTTAGCACATAGATGAAGTAGTTCTTTTGTTCAGATATTATGTCTTTGAAACCAGGCCTTTTGTATGGAACACTATCTCTTGTTAAACTATTAAGATCTTAAACATTTCTTAGTGCTAACATGCATCAGCTTATGATATGCTTTATTCAGAGACTGGAAATGGATCCATTGATTTCTCCTACTGCTTCATGTTGATACAAAATTCAAACCTGAATCCACTGAAAACAAATTTTGGCTGGGTTTCCACTTATGCTAAATCTTAAAGTGCTATTTGTGGCTTAATAAGAATCCAGCAACTGAGATTCATGAATCATGATTTAT